GATGCCTTGTAGTACTTGTATTAGGTGAATTGAAAAATACTCTTGTTTTTTACAGTGCAAATATATTTAATCAAAAAGAAATATAGTGAGCACTGTATTCTGTGTTGTAATTGAAATCAATATATTCCAAAATGTAGAAAACATCTAAAAATATTTAAATAAATGGTATTCTATTATTGTTTAACAGCACGATTAATCAATATATTTTTTTAATCATGCGACTAATTTTTTTAATCGCTTGACAGCCCAAAAAGGAACAGCTCATTCTTGGGAGCATGGATACTCCCATTCATAAAAGAAAAAACAAACAATTTGTTAAGTCCAGGTAACATACAGTGGCCTATCTGTAGCAGTTATTTTCCAAAAGAATAATCCAATGTCTAGAACATTCAACCTCAGTGGGCCAAGCAATTTAATAAATAATTTTCTGCCTCACCAGCCAATCAGTGTTCTTGACTCCAGCACACTTATTTCTTTATAAGAATTTCATATTATGGTGGCCTCAGACAATTTAGAGCACTGATGAAGTGCTAACAATACAATGAATGTATATAGCAACTATTATCCAAAAAGATTCCAAAAAGTCCTTTACATGTTGTGGACCTGATTCAGGACAAATATGCACCCACAGGGCAAGCTCCAGCAGGGCAGGCTATTCATCCCCATCAGGAAAGGGCAGTTTTTAATTCAATCCAGCACTCCTAGGAGTTTAAATCAACATGTCTTGAGCCCACGAGATACACTCCTCCTCTGCTGGCCTCTTTCAGAGACTTCAATGGAACTATTCACTTCAGAGTTTGCAAGCTAATACCAGGTTTCAGAGGAACTGAGCTGTAGCTCACGAAAGCTCATGCTCAAATAAATTGGTTAGTCTCTAAGGTGCCACAAGTACTCCTTTTCTTTTTGCAAGCTAATACCGAAACTTACTGTAACTGAAAGGGATTAAAGGGGAAAGTATCTTTTTCTGTTTATTTTATGCATTTGGCTGCACTTTGGGACAGATCTTTAAAAAATATTTGGGCATCTAACTCCTATTGAAATCAATGGGAGTTAGGCACCTAAATATCTTTAAGACCTGGCCGTCTGTGAAAAGTCCATTTCACAGTTTTCCCTCACAAACTCAGTTAGATAGTTTCCATAGATCTTTTATATACAAACAGGAAAGAGAAAGATTTAAAAAAAACAAAAACAAGAAAATGTGACTGTAAAACCCCAAAAATTTACAGAAGACTTGGGGAGCAGGACAGTATCTGAAAGCACTTTAATTAATTTTGTGCAATGGAATAGTTTTCAGCTTGACGGTATCCCTTTAACTGCATAGTTCACCTATGGACATAAAAATTGTGTGTTCCAATCAGGACCCATTAGAATGTATATAGTATTAATCTAGTTAGTTGCATAACTTGGCTGCATCCATGTCAAATTAAAAACCAAATTCTGCTCCTTACAGCATAATCACTTTTGGTAAGTAAGAAGCCAAAACAATATTTTTTAAAATGTTAGTATGTGCAGTAAGATGTCAAATGGGATATGGAAGTGTACTATGTTAACCTTCAATGCAATGGAGAATAGAAAGCACTGAGGCAAATCACAGCCTGACTTGCACAATGTGTACTCTCTGAGCATACAATTGTTCAACTTTCTGAATGTCTGACTTCAGGTAGTTGTGTGTGCATATAGAGGGGATAATCCCATAACAATGGACAATACTGTAGCCCTATGTATTGGAGTAGGGATTTGAACTCTCCCACATCCCCGATGAATGCCCTGACCACTGAACCAGAGAATCAACAGCTCCAATGGGAGAGATTGACCCACTCCAACAGCCTGGTGGTGAGGGCAATCTTCTAGGAGGCAGGACAGTTAGGGTCAAGTTCCTGCTCAGGATCAGGCAGAGTGGGGATTTGAAAACAGCTCTTCCACATGCCAGCTTAGTGCCCCATCCACTGGGCTACTGGCGATAATTGGGTGAGGCGGGGTGTGTGTTTCTCTTTCCCTGTCTTTTTTGTGAGACAGGGCTGACCTGGCTTAAGCGCCTAACTCCAGGAGAGGGGTCATGGCAGAGAATCCTGAGCATAAGAGGCTCCTGCCTCTGCTTCCTCAGTCGGGGGCCTACGGCCCAGATCAGTGGGAATTAGGTACCTAGCTCCCTTTGTAGCTCTGGGCCCCAAACCCCTCCCCCTTTCCTCCTCATTTCACTCCTGGCTAGCTTAGGGGGCTCCCTGATCAGCCTGCTGTCTTCTGAGAATCCCTTTTTTTAGGTGCCTAACACTTCCCATATGTTGTATGGAAAGCCTATCTTGGGGCTGTGAATTCCACTGGGCAGCAAGGAGCCTAGGTGGTTGCAATTTTCAGCACTGCAACACCTAAGTCCTCTTTGTGATTCTGGCATGAAGGGCCAGGGACATAGAACCAACTACCAGGAAATGCAGGATTCCAGAGGTCAAAGAGTTGCAACTTGTGTGCTGTAGAGCTGTGCTCCCTGCTGCCTTGCTAGTCCCCTGCACATTGGGAGGCTGGAGGAGTAGCAATGACTACTAAAGGAAGTATGGGCTGGATGAATGCACTATAAGGTGGGTAGAAAGCTGGCTAGATTGTCGGGCTCAACGGGTAGTTATCAATGGCTCCATGTCTAGTTGGCAGCCGGTATCAAGTGGAGTGCCCCAAGGGTCGGTCCTGGGGCCGGTTTTGTTCAATATCTTCATAAATGATCTGGAGGATGGTGTGGATTGCACTCTCAGCAAATTTGCGGATGATACTAAACTGGGAGGAGTGGTAGATACGCTGGAGGGAGGGATAGGATACAGAAGGACCTAGACAAATTGGAGGATTGGGCCAAAAGAAATCTGATGAGGTTCAATAAGGATAAGTGCAGGGTCCTGCACGTAGGACGGAAGAACCCAATGCACAGCTACAGACTAGGGACCGAATGGCTAGGCAGCAGTTCTGCGGAAAAGGACCTAGGGGTGACAGTGGACGAGAAGCTGGATATGAGTCAGCAGTGTGCCCTTGTTGCCAAGAAGGCCAATGGCATTTTGGGATGTATAAGATGTATAAGTAGGGGCATAGCGAGCAGATCGAGGGACGTGATCGTTCCCCTCTATTCGACATTGGTGAGGCCTCATCTGGAGTACTGTGTCCAGTTTTGGGCCCCACACTTCAAGAAGGATGTGGATAAATTGGAGAGAGTCCAGCGAAGGGCAACAAAAATGATTAGGGGTCTGGAACACATGAGTTATGAGGAGAGGCTGAGGGAGCTGGGATTGTTTAGCCTGCAGAAAAGAAGAATGAGGGGGGATTTGATAGCTGCTTTCAACTACCTGAAAGGGGGTTCCAAAGAGGATGGCTCTAGACTGTTCTCAATGGTAGCAGATGACAGAACGAGGAGTAATGGTCTCAAGCTGCAGTGGGGGAGGTTTAGATTGGATATTAGGAAAAACTTTTTCACTAAGAGGGTGGTGAAACACTGGAATGCGTTAGGCTAGGGAGGTGGTAGAATCTCCTTCCTCAGAGGTTTTTAAGGTCAGGCTTGACAAAGCCCTGGCTGGGATGATTTAACTGGGAATTGGTCCTGCTTCGAGCAGGGGGTTGGACTAGATGACCTTCTGGGGTCCCTTCCAACCCTTATATTCTATGATTCTATGACAAGGCAAGTGGACTGGCAGATCCAGAGAGCCACTCGCCATTTTCCCCACCTCAAGAGCGAACGCACAGCAACCATGAGCACGCTGGGAGGCTGCAGCAGGGGCAGTGGAGCAGCAGCACTGTCTCTCCATAGCTTGAGGAAAGATTCTTCCTTCAAGTTTCCACAGTGCCAAGCGCACTTTGTGGAGTAAGTACTTAACTTCTCCCATCGAAATGAAAGGTTTACACTAGAGCATCACAGAGACCCACAGGGGCTGACAATCTGTAGAGGATGTCATGCCCAGACCCAATGGATCCTGGGACTTTTTGTGTAGCCAGCTCCCTCTGTGGTGCTCCCTAGGTATCCCTCCTCCAGAAACAGGCTCATTACTTTGGGCTGAGCCCCTGTAGAAACAAAAGCCTAAGGAAGTAGTCAATACTGGTACCAATAGCATTAATTACTGTACAGATTTCCAATCAGAAACCTACAGGTAGAGTTGTGGGGAGCAGACCGCTCTTCCAGCCTAGCACACACACTGAGACCTGCAGAGACTTGACTACAAAGGGGAGCTTCTGAAGAGGAGGAGCAGAGATGCTGCTTTACTTTAATTTATGGCACAAACCGATATAAGTCCCCTGCAAAATATATGCATAGTGGGATCTCTGATTTGTATAATGTTACATGCCACATGTGCTGAAAGAGCTAGGTATTATTAATCATCTTTATAAATTCCTAGCTCAGTTAGAAGTGTTAGGGATGGAATGGCCATCTTAGCTTTTTATTTTCTGGCTTTTGCTGTTTTGTGTTAAAGCCTTAATGCTAACTGCTGGCTGGCAGAAATGCAGTTAGACTTTGATAGGATTTCAGTCTTAAGATCAAACAACACTGTGATATCAATGATGTACACTGGATAGAATCTTCAGCAATTTTATGGTTATGCCTGAGTTATGTAAACATTTATTTGCCGGGGGGGGGGAGGGGGAGGCAGAAAAGGAGAAGGAGTGAGAATTCAAACATGATTCAGAGAAGAGATAAAGATACTTTGCTTAATCTACTTTTTATAATTGTGACTGTTGTCCTCCTGTTAAAAAACTAATCTTACCAGTCCTGTAGAAATATTTGCTTGATTGTATTTAATGAACAGATATTTATCTTTTTCAAAAAATTTAAACTGTATGCAGAGCACAAATGGCATAATAAAGTCTGACAGTGTATGCATTTCCACAAAAATAGATATTTTTAATCTTTATGACTCCTGTAAAAGAACCAAATACTGATACATTAAATTAAGAGATTACTAAATCCTATTTTTATAACTGTATACTAAATAAATATTTCATCAAGTAAAAATGCTACTCATATTTTTTAAACTTACAGTTTTAAAGCAGAAGTGATATTTTCTCCAGTAACTGAAGTGGTTTTCTAATCTAAAACAAATTTAAAAATTTGATTTAATGTTTTCTTAGCACTGTTATTACCCTCAACATTTCAGTCACACTAATAAAAATAGTCTAAACAGAAATTTCTTGTTCAGCAAATTACGGATAAACACTTAAAGAAATCAAGCCCCAAATTCAATCCATTGCAACATTTTAAAAATGATTCCCGATCTGTTTAAAGATGAAAACATTGTGCGCTATATAATACCACGGCAGCAGCAGGTTCCCTATCATAGATCTGAAAACATATTTCATCTAATTGATGAGCTTTTGTTTAAACAAGCATTGATATGCATGCTGTGATGCATGTGGTCACAAGAAATTCTCAGCAACATATAGCCCAAGTGATTAGGCTACTAGATAAAAACAGTTTTTATTGTATTTAGAATTTTTTCCCCACTAATTCAGTATTAATTATGCAAAAAAAAAAGTTTTATTTTTTAAAGACACTTCCACCATATTAGACCCCATTCTGCTCCCACTGAAGTCAATGGCAAAACTCCCACCGACTTCAATGGGAGCTCTGGGCCCCTGAGAATAAATGCTTACTTATTGTGCTTTGGAAAGCATTGTCTTAACTCATTTAAAATCAGGCATTAATGTATAATAATTTATTAATCGAGCAAGCCTATATACAGTATTTTGAACAGACAATTTTATAGTGGTCTTGGTCATGCGTATGGCATGATATGACAACATTTATTGTATCTGCAATAAAAACATTTTAAGAGTATAACTACAAGCTTTATGGATGATTTTACTATGTGGCATGTTTATTCCATGTTGCTGAGAACTGAGAAAAAACAACTTTTTCATTTTACTGCATCATAAAAAATGAATTAGATTTCCTGAATACAGTATACAATCAGAAAGCACTTGGTTCTGACCTCATTTGTGAGGCAAATCTTTTTATTTTTAATTTTTTTTTTCAGAGGCGAATGGTATGTGAGTTTACATCTGGCTGTTGTTTGAGAAAGTCAGTGCCTTGTCTGTGCTTATTGATCTTCAGGGTCATCTTTTAATAATACCAAAAAAGCTTCCAAAATAAAGATCTTAAATCTTTTTTATTCCTTTTTCCTTTTAAGGGTTTCTTTTAAAGATGCTTGTCAGCACTAGCTCTGTCAATAAAGTTAATTGGCAAACTGTCTCTTTGTCAATATATGGCCTATGGCAAGCTTTCCTACAAATCTATACAAAAATCCACTTGAAATATATTATGGTTGTACTTAAATAAGATTCTGTGCTTCCCTGAAATTTATAAAGAGGAAGTCTGCCTATTTTCAAATGGTATGATACAGATAAAAAGCAACTAGCAAGATGTTAAAATTCAATAAACAGCAGGGAACAGAGGGCTGGAGTGTGTCTCTGCTCGTGTTTTGTTTTTGATGGAAATGGGAAATAAATGCTTAACTACAGAAAGAACAATGAATATTTTACATAACAGCATAATGGAAGTTCCAGTTCCCATAAGGGCTCACTTCCAAGCAAACAAAATTCATCACAAAACTTAAATAATGCATGTTTTCATGAAACCCAGAGAGTTCCAATGCAATACAGGAAAATAACAGGGATTCCACAGAACTATACTCCGTTCAAGGAGTCTATGGCTACAACTTTATGTCCTGTTTGTGCTAGCTAATCCTTTCCATAAATCCTCTGCCCTCAATTGTGAATTAAACAGGAAGTTGCTTTTAAAGATCCCTCAATAGGAACCTGTCCATTTCCGAATCCATGTGTAATCATCCTATGGAGCAAAATCCCTCTGATGGTGAGTGGAGTGTGGCACCCTACAAACACATGGACAGCTCCCTTTCCCTCCTCCTCTCCAAGCAGAAGTTGCTGTTAGCTCCCGGCACTGCAGTGCAGCGTAGCCCAAGCCAGGCTAGGCGGTCCACAGCCCCCCTCTGGTTGTCTGTGTAGGGGTCCACGTGCTGTGCTAACCTCCTGCAATCCCCCGCTCCTTGTACACGCTCATCATCAGCGGGAAGGAGCGCTGGAGGCTGCCCGTGCCTGGGAGCCTCTGGGTGCTCTCAGCATCTCCCGAGGAGACGACCACCCTCACCCTGCCATCTCGTTTGCATCTTTCCCCCCCAATCTGTCCGCCCCACTTTGCGCACAGATGTTACGTGGCCGCCCCGGCCAGCATGACTCAGCCCTACCCCACGGGCACCAAGCGAGTCCTGCAGTCCCCGGGCACGCGCAGGACTCCCCGGGGAGCGTTACGCGCGCGGGGAGTCCTGCCTGCGCCCCAGGCTGCGCGGCGCGTTTCGTCCCCCCTCTCTCCAGACGCCACCCCGCCGGTGCTGCGGTCCCGCAAACCAACCGGGGGGAGGCTCAGTCTGCCCGCCCGTTAGGACTCCCCAGGGCTTTCACTGGGACTTCTGCCGTGGCTCAGCCTCCTCCGCCCGCAACAACTTAATTAAGGACTTCAGGATCTGTCCCCAAAGCACCTGGAGACCAACAACTTCGCACGCTTCAGGCAACTCCTACCCTTGCGTCGAAGCAGCAACGGAAGCAGTTTGGGGGGGCGGGGCTACTACAAAACCTCCTGGCCAATCGGAGCCCCGATCCTGGCATGCAGCCTAGGAAGGGGGAAAAGGCAGGACGGGTTTCAAAGGCTCGATCTGACGGTTATCGTTTATCTACTCGCTTAGGGTGAGCCACGATATGCTCCCCCGCGCAACGGCAAGCCTCGATCTCCTTCGCATCCTTCCATGCATCTTTGCCCCCAGCACCTCGGCAGCTTTCCCGCTGCCTCCCGACCACCGGATCCTTGCAGTCGCTGCCCTCCGGCAAGCAAAAGTTGTGCCAGGCTTCATTAGCGAGTCGGTTTCAAAGGCACTCGAGTTGCAAAGCAATTCCCAGCGCCGGGAGAGGCAGCCTGGCGTCGGTACCGAGAAGCGCCCTGTAGCCCAGCGCCCCCCAGCCGAAGTCAGATCGCCCCGGGAAACCACCATCGGCTCCTGCAAACCATCCCCAGCCGCAGCCCACCCGCCAACTGCCCCGGCGAGCAAAGCCGCTCGCTGCTGGCGCCGGGGGAAAGTTGCAGCCCTTCTCGGACACGCTCGCTCGTAGGAAAAGTTGCCCCGGAGGCAGGAACAGCCGCCACCGCCCATAAACTCTTGGGCGCGCCACTTACCCGCGAGGACACACCGAACCCCCGCGGTGCCGGCACCCAGCAGCCGCCCCCCGCGTGCGGAGCTGGTCACCGTCTCCTGCCTCCCGAGCTCGGCTCGGCTCGGCGCTGCTGCCGGCGGCGACGGCGGCGTCTCCTGGAGGAGTCGCCAGGCGTGACAGAGCCAGAGGAGGGGCGGACAAGGGGTTGTGTGGGCTGCACGTTGCAGTCCTCCCTCTGCTGCAGTGCTGGAGCGGGAGAGGGAGAGGGAGGTAAAGGCGGGGAAAGCGGAGGCACAGAGACAGGGGGGGAGAGAAAGAGGCAGGAAGGCAGCGCACGATCAATAATTGAAGGCGTGGGAGTGGGCAATCTCGGCTAACGCAAGCAGACAGACTCCTCCGGGACGAGACTGGGGCATTGCAAGCCAGCACATGGACTGTGCGGGAAACCCGCCTTAAAATCCCCCCCCCCTTTTGGGGGGAATCCACACCCATCTGCATACACAGGCACTTCGTCCCAAAGTTAATATTTCATTAGAGGCAACAGTAGGGAAGACTGTGCGAAAGGCTCTGTTTGCCTAGGAGCTGCCTGCAGCAGGCTCTTGGCAATCCAAAGCGTTTCTAAAAGGCTGCTCCTTTTATTAGATCATAATGTTATTGGTGTGCAAGGTGCTGTACAGACATGCCCCAAAAATACATTACAGTTGAGGGACCCCCCGTGCTCTAACCCCTATTCTCTTTGCAGTCCAGTGATTTTAGACTTCTTTTGCGAGTCAGGACGACGCCTCTCATGAATAAGGGATCAGTCCTTGTTTGTAGGATCAGTCCTTGTTTCGATTACTAGTACTAATTATTTCTAATGCAGAATCATCTAAGCGCCCCAAACCAGCATTAGAGCTCTGTTGGGCTAGGCATTGTACAACAAATTACACAAAGACAGTCCTCTCCTCAAAAACTTTACAAGTGTCAGAACTTGCTTCCCAGAAGAAACCAGAAGCTCTGGAAAGCCATTCCACCCTATAGAATCATTACCTTTTTTTTTTTTTTTTAAGTGATGGCTGATTAATACTAAAACGTAGCAAAAAAGATTTACTAACAGAAAATTCCTAAAGAAATTCCATTGTCTTTAGTCAGTTTAAATAAATTTTTGGTGCTCAAACTTTTTTTCCACATACTGGGCTTGATTGTCCATTGCTTTGCAGCTTGTGTAGTCATTTACACGTGTGCAGAATGGGTATCTGCATTTTACACTCACCTTTCATAGGTGTCAATGACTACACCAGCTGTAAATGGTGGAGAATCAGACCCACCCTCCCCAGCAAGAACTAGTGTATAACTACAGGTTTCAGAGTAACAGCCGTGTTAGTCTGTATTCGCAAAAAGAAAAGGAGTACTTGTGGCACCTTAGAGACTAACCAATTTATTTGAGCATGAGCTTTCGTGAGCTACAGCTCACTTCATCGGATGCATACTGTGGAAACTGCAGAAGACATTATATACACAGAGGAGGTATTGTCTCATGGTCTCTGTGTATATAATGTCTTCTGCAGTTTCCACAGTATGCATCCGATGAAGCGAGCTGTAGCTCACGAAAGCTCATGCTCAAATAAATTGGTTAGTCTCTAAGGTGCCACAAGTACTCCTTTTCTTTTTAGTGTATAACTGACACCTGATCTGCATATAGCATCACCACAATGAAGGGGAGGAAACAGTGAACAGAGCAGATAGGATTCCTTATTGAAGGAACTTCTTTCAACAAACAGCCCACAGGTAGTTCAATAGACTCTTCCATTAGATTACCCAAAAAGAAAATGTCTCAGCTACAAATAAGATCCATAGCAAGGGGCTAGAGACAACAACGAAAGACACCAGTACCAAATACCCTCTGATCTCTTGGCAATACTGGCTAAGTATACAGTGACCCTAAGAGCACCCCAATGACAGATGGCACACTGTTGTCATTATCTTTACCCAAAAGAAGGCATGTAATATATCACTGGAAAACTATTAACACTGATCAATAATCTTCCTGTGTGAATTATGTATAGTTAACCCACAAAGAATTTTACAGATGTTCTGGAAATGTCTCTAAAATATGTTTAAACCAGGCATAAACAGGCTTTTCTCCAGACAAAGGAAAGAGGCCAGCACCTTAAACTGGTGTGGCCAAATTCAATGGGCAATTCATTTGTATCGGAGCTTGCAGGAAAAGATCATTTGCATTTTAGAAATTACTAGCAGGGGAGGAATGAGCATGGTGTCTACATCCAGCAGGGGACAGAAACATTATCTGTAGGGCCCTACCAAATTCGTGGCTGTGAAAAACGCTTCACGGACTGTGAAATCTGGTCTTTTGTGTGCTTTTACCCTAGTATACAGATTTCATGGGGGAGACCAGCGTTTCTCAAACTGGGGATCCTGACCCAAAAGAGGGTCATGGTGGAGGGATGCCAGGTTATTGTGTGTCGGGGCTGGGGGGGGGGGATTTGCAGTATTGCTTCTGCACTGCCTTCAGAGCTGGGTGGCCAGAGAGCAGCAGCTGCTGGCCAGGCACTCAGCTCTGAAGGCAACGCCCTGCCAGCAGCAGCACAGAAGTAAGGGTCGCAATACCATACTACTTCAGAGTTGGGCAGTCAGAGAGTGGCAGCTGCTGGCTGAGGTCCCAGCTCTGAAGGCAGCAGCACAAAAGTATGGGTGGCCATACCATATTATACCATTTCTATCTTCATTCTTTATATTTGATATCAATTCCACCTGTGTCCTTTTATTAATAAACTTACTTTACTTTTACTACAAACTATCTCAGCGCTTTGATTGAAACAGAGTGTTTGTTAACCCCAGTTAAGGTAATAAGTTGCTGAGTACTCTCTCTTTAAAGAAACAATGAATTTGATAAGGTTTTGTGAATATGACAGTAAGAAGGATCTGTGCCCTGCAGAAAGACTTCTCTGAGGAACTCAGCAATTGGGGTTTCCTGATTGTTACCTGCTAGGTAAAGTCTGGACTAGCAGCATCCTGAAGAGTATGCTGGCAGGGACTGACAAGCTGATGTGTCAGGCTGAGACATAGCATAGCAATAGCAAAGCTCTCACTTGCTGAGGTTAAGAGGGGTAACCCAGTAACTCACAATTTGGGGAACCCTAGCAGCCTTTCACATATACCAAGTCTTCTAGACAATTAAAAGTAATTTCAAGCACAGCAGCCTCCCCTGAGCCTTCCTGCCTATATTTTTGGGTTTTCATTCATGTTTTCTTACTTTTAAAAATGCTCTTCTCTCCTCTGTTGCTGTGTGAAAGACTCACACAAACAGCAAAGGAAATTGACTAATTGAATGACTACCCAGGGGAAACAGTGAATGGGACTATACACAGAGTGCTGTCAAATGCACAAAGCAAACAAACAGAAAAAAATAGAGAAAAAAATCCTTTTTCCTCTAATCCTGTTACGTTATAGTAATCTTAGGTATTACTTGCAAGGACAGTAACAATTTCAGTCAGAAGCGTGAGTTAAAATAACTCTGATCATTTAAAAAAACCCATGAAAATGCAATTTAGAATATACAATAATATTCAAAGGGAAACAAAACAGATTGCCAAGTTTTCACATCAGCAACAAAAGGAGGTATCAGAAAGTCATTATCACTACATAAGCGAGAAATGCAGCAAATGTCTCCCATTCAGTTCATTATGGTCTAATTAAAGTTGCTATATTTCTGAATACAAAATGCATCTTGTATTTTATTTGATTTTATAAAGTATGTCAAAAGAAAATCTTTTGCTATAGAATGACCAAGAAGGAAGACATGTTTCTTGTGAGCAAATAAAGGAAAAACTCATGATAAATTTCATTAGAATAAGTTTTGGAACTGTATAACAGTTTTGTAGGTCACATCTAAGTCCTAAGGACAAGAAATCATGCTCAAACCAAAGAGCAAAAGGAAGCCCAAAAGGCCTTTATAACCGATAGTGCAGGGTCATGGCAGCAGCCATCTTGTTCCTCTCCTACCCCATTGGACTGGAGAGCTCTATATGAGAGTGTTGAGACACACCCTACCACGACAGACTGACTTCATACAAAAATGTCTTTTCTGAAGACAAAAGGTGAGTCTTTATCTACAAAAATAAAACCTCTGGATAGACACATGAGCAAGGTGGAGCAGCATGGAAGCAAGATGATGACAAATGAAGATCAATGTTGATAAATACAAAGTAATGCACATTGTAGGGGGAAAAATTGAACTACTCACGCACCTTTACAAGGTTCTAAACCACAGGTGGGCAAACTATGGCCCGTGGGCCACATCTGACCTGCAGGACTGTTCTGCCTGGCCCCTGAGCTCCTAGCCCGGGAGGCTAGCCCCCGGCCCCTCCCCTGCTGTTCCCCCTCCCCCGGAGCCTCAGCTCACCGCGTCACTGGCGCAATGCTCTGGGCGGCGGGGCAGCGAGCTTCTGGGGCAGCGCAGCTGCAGAGCCTGGCCTGAGCTGGTGCTCTGTGCTGCACGGGGTGTGGCTGGCTCCAGCCCGGCGGTGTGGCTATAGCACCATCAGTGCTCCAGGCAGCGCGGTAAGGGGGCAGGGAGTGGGGGAGGGGGGTTGGATAGAGGGCAGGCGGAGGAGGTCTGGATAGGGGTCGGGGCGGTCAGAGAGCGGTTGAATGGGGGGTTGAATGGGGGCAAGGGTTCCGGGGGCAGTCAGGAAGGAGAGGAGGGGTTGGATGGGGCGGCAAGGGGCAGTCAGGGGTGAGGGTTCTGGGGGCGGTCAGGGGACAAGGAGAAGGGGTAGTTGGATGAGGCAGGGGCAGTCAGGAAGGAGAGGAGGTTGGATGGGGCGGTGGGGGGCAGTTAGTGGCAGGGGGTCCAGGGACAATCAGGGGACAGAGAGCAGGGTGGGTGGATGGGGCAGGGTCCCTGGGGGGACCATTGGGGGGCAAGAAGCAGGGGGGGTCAGATAGGGGGCGGGAGCTGGGCCACGCCTGGCAGTTTGTGGAGGCACAGCCTCCCCTAAGTGGCCCTCCATACAATTTCTGAAACCCGATGTGGCCCTCAGGCCAAGAAGTTTGCCCACAGCTGTTTTAAACTAACTGTATCAGCTCAAGAAAGGGACCTAGCAGACAGCTCAAAGAAGACCTCTGCTCAGTGTGAGGCTGTGGTCAAAAAAAGCAAACAAGATGTTAGGCTGCATAAGGAATGGGATGGAAAATAATACAAAAAAAAATTATGCCTTTTATGTAAATCAATGATGTGGCCTCATCTGGAGTACTGCTACATGCAGAACTGGTCACCCCATCTCAAAAAGGATATTGCAGAATTAGAGGGGGTTCAGAGAAGAGCGATGAGAGTGATCAAGGGCATGGAAAAATTGCCATATGGAGAGAGACTGAAAAGATTGTGTTCTCACTTGCAGGGATGGGTCCATATATTCAGTAGTGATGGGTTCT